GCCCCTTGTATTCGTGCTGAGATTTCGTCAGAGATCAGCCCGTTGGCACCGGCTGATGGTACTTCCCAAATAAGTGAAGCGGTCAACGTGCTCTACCACTTCACTTCCTATTTTTAAACTAGGAGTCGATGTAGTCCAGTCCTGTAACATCATCTTGCATTTGGCGGGAGCGAATCTCATCCCAAACATTCGTAGATTGTGGCTCAAGGTGTTTAGAAGACTCTGCATTTCGTCAGCGTCTTCGCCTAGAAGGACTATATCGTCTGCATATTCCAAGTCAACGAGATTATTCCCCGGTAGCAAGTCAATTCCTGAGTCACTGAAGTCACCTAGGGTTAAGTCCATTAACACATCTATGATGAAGTTGAATAGAAAAGGAGATAATGGGCATCCTTGACGGACACCACTGGTCGTCATCAGTTCAGATGACAGCTCGCCGTAAGCCCTCACCTGGCTGTATGAGTACGAATAGAGTGCCTTAATCAGTGCAATATATTTTCTTGGAATTCCCTTTACAGCGATGCGATTGTACAGCTAAGAAAATGAATTTGCAGAAAAGACTCTTTGCGGAACCTTTCCTCATCACAATTCTAATAAGCAGCTGAAAGTGTTTATCTTCTAAATGGTAAGGGAAGGGAAACTGCAAATAATTTGAATAGCACTTCGGTGTACAGCAGCATGTAAACGCTAGTATCCATAGTCAACATTAGATATTTTACATAGTTACTGGTGTTAATCAACAAACTTAAAGTAGTTTCCTGTTACTTCACCTGTGAAAATTTCATGGGAATAATCCAGTCACTAAGATAGAGATCATGTGCTTAGTCACTAAGTTTGCTATGTCTATGACGGACTATGAAGGTTACACTGACTCCAAAAAATCAATTTGAAGTGATTCAAAATTGATTCCAGATTTCCGAATCTATATGAAACACTTACGACACCGTATATAACTCATCTACAGTGGACCTCTTCCAATTCTAACATGCAGCAGAAAAAGTTGATTATTTATTTGGATAGTCAAAATACATAGTAAATGGAGCTTCACTGATAGGACTGAGATAAGTTGACTGACATTTATTGTTAACTTCTGTGTTTTCTCGCACTTGAATGGTTTAAATTAAAAGCTTACATTGTCCTTCAGAGTAAACTCTGAAGATGTCTAGTTGGTCAATGAAAGCTTTGTTTTCAAACAAACCAGCTTAAGGAACAAAACGACCCTGAAATCATATACGTACATTTCCAAAGCCTAATGCATACCATAAAAGTTTATTTGATCAACACGTGTAAATGGAACATGGAGAAAGTTTTATCTGTTTTGTGTTTGACACGAACATGCCTACTTATTCCTTAAATGAATTCTCATTTCTCATGCTAAAAATCAGTTCATTTGGCCAAACATGAGTCAGGAAGTGAGACAATGACGGTAAAATGATATAATTAGATGGAGAAGGAAAGACTTTATTCACGAGTCAACACCAAATAAATTCGACGGAGACGATGTGACACCTGTCCTAGAAATCTGAAGATACCTTAGGAATAACATTTATTACTCTTCCTACATACACAGATGATAATAACTGCATTAGATAAAGAAATTATTGTCTCTAACTTCACTGAAATTAACCCCACTAGTGTTCTTGACAGAATAACAAAATGACCAAAACAGACCTTCACTAATTCACTGTTTGCCAACACTAATTATTACAAAGACTTGGATACCGTTAAGTTTCATCCCTTGCTCACTCTCCAAATATTTTCGTCGCGATATGTTTCTTTCATTTACGCTGCATATTTTCGTGTTGTGTCTGAGCATTATTATTCTAATTTGAGCGAGTAAGTTAATTATTCAAAGTTGGTCATGATATATACTCAAACAGACATCATATCTTATGTAAACAAGTCAGATTTAGGCTGCTACAGTACATATAGGATATCGCAGGTACCGGCTCATTTAACGATGAAACTAGACACTACATATCTGTCTACTTGTATAACTGTTTGATTGAATTTCTTTTTGCCTCCTACGAAATGTGTGCCGATTAAAACTGGCTATCCTACTTTCTATTCCACTTGACACGACGTCGCCAGATATCCGGAAAAAGCTGATTCGTCCTTGTTTCAGACACAGGATCAAATTCATAGTCATTAGTGGTTAGGGGATAAAAATTTCGGAGTGAACATCGATTTACCTAAAGACCAAGACAGATTTTCACACACACAACTGAGTTCACAATCAATATACACTACGTCATCTAATTTTTCTGCTCAATGAGAATGAGTGGTGATCACTTACTGATTACAGGACTGGACGACGTCAACCCCTAACTTAGTGATAGGGAGTGAAGTGATAGAACATGTTGACCACTTCACCTACTTGGGAAGTTGTATCAGCACCAACGGACTGATTGGCGATGAAATCTCAGCACGGATCCGAAAAGCTCGAGCTGCTTTCGCTGACTTACACCATCTCTGGCGTAGGCGTGACATCCGGTTATCAACCAAGGGACGTGTGTACTGCTCATCAGTTCGCTCCGTCCTTCTCTATGGCTCTGAAACATGGCCAATACGCGTTGAAGACATGAAAAGGTTGACTGCTTTCGATCATAGATGTCTGCGATCTCTGTCTCACGTTAGGTGGTTTAATAAGGTAAGTAATGTTGACGTTAGGCGTAGAGTGTTGGGCAAAGAGGGAAAATCAATCGACGAGGTTATAAAGTTACATAGACTAAGATGGCTAGGTCACGTGGTGCGCATGCCTAACCACCGCCTCCCCCGACGGGCATTGTTAGCTGATATAGGTTCAGGTTGGAAAAGAGCCAGTGGTGGCCAAACAAAAACATGGCATCAATCCATGAAATCCTTGACAGTTAAACTGAGTCGGGTAGGGAGATGCAGACTCCCGGGTTGGGGCCCTCGCGACTCTAGGAATCAATGGCTGGAGACAATAGGTGACATGGCTCAAAATCGTTGTCAATGGCGCAGATGTATTCAATCTCTGTAATCTTTCATATTCCTTTCTACCATTACCCATTCTGTTTCACTCTTATATTTGTCAAACTCTATTAATTCTCTTCACTCATCTTCTTGTCTACCTCTGTGTGCTATTTGGAACGTGGCAACTCGAACTGCTGCACTTCGGTGCCAAGTTCTATGTTGAATCCAGACAGACAGACAGCGCGAAGATCACATGTACATTTACATGAAGTTCAATAGAAGTGGATGAGTAGAACTCACTTATTCAATCAATCAGATGGTGAAAACACATGACATGGTCAACATGAAAATCGATGAGATTTAAAATTGACTCCCGAATCTATTCGAAACAATTACAACCCTTCGTACAGTCGTCCTCTATCAGCTGGATGGATTAGTTGCGAAACTCTCACTGTCTTTCGAGGCAACATATCCACAGCCAGCATACTACAATTTAAAGAGGTCTACAGAAGTAGTGAAATCTTTGAAACTAAATCAATATCACTCACCGGAGCCATAAATCTTCTCCGTCATACTTACAACATCCTACACAACTACTTGTTCTCCTCAAAGAAGTATTCCCAACAATACGTGCAGCCTTACCAACATTTTAATCCCAAGAATATTGATCTTACATCACACGTATAAGCAATGTCTAGAGACTACATTGGATATTTCCCCAAGCCACTTGAACACAGACTAGCAAAGTCATGATCACGAACCGAAGATGCACCTTTGCATCAGTCTTTATCGCACACTGACTAGCCTACAAATGCGTAGAGCTTAAAACACAACCACAATGAATCGTATATCTAAAGTCATTTCAGAACGAATTCCCAGGTGGTGTCAAAGACTGACACATTCTCAGTTAAACTTCCATCTTTTCTTATCAATGCCTCACCCTGTTGTGCATAAAAGTGCGTCGGTGGCACAGTGGTTAGGATTCTCGACGACCATGCACATGGTCCGGGGTTCGAGCCCAAACCGGCGCACACCAGATATCTATGGTCGGCCTGCGAAATTTGGGCTACCGATATCCATGCTGGAAATTCCATACTTGTACCAAAAATACAGTGTGGAATCAAGCTGTTACCAAAAAGAAACCTCTGGATCCATGTCATAGTCTGTTGTCTGACTTTTCCAATCTATTCGCTATCAAAACGCATACAACAGAGAAACTAACTGTACACAATTCGTATTCATAACGGTATTTATAACTTATTTCACACAATACCGTCAACCTCTGTTCGACAAAATGCATAATAAAATATATTATTAGTGACAAAACATACCATCGAATCCGTCTTCTCGCAAAACTATTATGCAATTCCGGTATAGGAATTCATCAAACCACGCTTGTAGATATTTCCACCAATAATTTACTACAAAAGTAGTAAACCAATGATATCTACCGATACAAATTTTCTTACACGCTACCCCCGTCATAATTTTTCACAAACCTAGTCACATCAAATTAGCTGTGTCAAGCGATTCCATTTTTTTTCACAGGTCCTGAGAAACCTCTGAGTGTTTGAAACTACAATGGTTATAAAAGCATCAAAGTTACAGCTTAAATGTCTACACGACAGCACGAATTATACTGCAAATTATACTAACCCAATATCAAGTGATCATTCCATCGTTTGCAGTCAAACTCTAAATCCGTGAGACGGTGACAGTGACAAGAAAGAAGCGGTGGACCACTTAATTTAGTTGTCTAACGGATCAGTAAATATTACACTCACTTGAGAAGAAAATTAATTACACTTACAACAGACTAAAACTTAAATATCTCATGTACTTTACTCCCAACGCCTAGAACGCACCACAATCATAGGTGAAGGGATAACACTCTATCTTTAGCTCACAAAACAGAAATGATATCTACAAATTTCTTTATCGGTATTTGTGAAATGTTATGGCTCAAAAATAATCATGACTTTTAAAATATGTGAGAAAATCAAAATCAGTTAAATTGTTATTTACATAATTGAAGGTTTACTTTTCTGCAGTTGACTACCAGACTACGTGTTGACATTTCTGGACTGGAGAGAAGCATGTTGTAAAGCTTCTGATAGAATTTTACGTAGCTCCTCGCGACAGATTATCCGAAACTTTTCGATTATATTCCATTCATTAGCACTGATTTTCAGTTCTCTATCATATAAATCACTACTTGAAGTAACATGTGAATCTCCTTTCACTTTTTGAAGAAGGGATAATGTTTGTGTCAAGCATAAATGACGTAGGAGACGGATGATTTCCTCATCCCTGTTACGCACAGTGGGTTGGGGCTGGGTATCAATAGCTTCGCTGGCAGTTGAATTCTAAAAATTCAACGTGAGCTACTTACTGATGCACATACCGATTGTGATTCATCGCTTGAATGTATACTACTGGGCAACGAATTCTGAACCGATGGACAACTGCATTTCATCTTCAACCCAATTCGCTTTTTATGCATTTTGCCATTTTCATGCTCTTCTTTATTTTTAATTGATGTTAATAGTACTTGACAGACATCACAGAATATCGAAGCAGTCCTCAAATCAGGAGAATCTGTACATTTTTCAAATGCTTCAGCAGGCAAATGGATTCCAGACTGGTGTTTTGAAGAAGTAGGGTTCATTTCGAAATCTTCCTTTTCCTGATAATTCTAAAAGTCAGGAACACCGCAAACATGAATGCTTCTAACTGATGTACATACCGATCGTGATTCATTGTTTGAATGTATACTACCGGGCATCGAACTCGCAGCCGCACTGGCACTTATTGATTCATCGCAATCCAGATTTAGATTGTGACGCCAAAACTCATCGTCAGTGTTAAAAAACATGCGACACTTTGGGCACATCCGGGATTCTGTGACGTCCAACATTTCTTGAAATACTAGAGTCAAAAATGAAATGACATGAAAATGATGCAGGATAAGCAAACCTAGTGCATAGTGAGACACATATCAATATGCTTGAGACTATATCTAGATGAGAAAAGTAAATTACCTTAACCCTTTATATGGACACAACCGAAACGACTGAGAAATGACATACAGTGATTGCAAATTACACAGAAAAGTTGTCACTATTATTAATAAAACCACACGTTGTGACCCTTTTAATAACCGAAAATATTGGATTTCTCTGTAATACGGGACTACATTAGATTTTCGATTTATTGGTTGAGGATAGAAGGCTTGCAGCCTATGTTAATCCTTTTCTAGTAGATTTCTGTGGTTGTCCAAACCCTTCTTGAACGAATCAGTTGAGGTTGCAGACACCACTTTTTCTGGGAGTCGGTTCCAAGAGTTTATGACTCGATGTGAGAACCAGTACTCAACAGCAATATGATTTCTCCTTGGCTTTTGAACTTTCCTGCTATGTCCTCTAAGGTGTTCCTACCTCGTGGGAAGGAAAAGAGAGAATAGGTCAGGTCCGTAGTCATTATTTAAAATTTTAAACATTGTGATTAAATCTCCTCTCTGCCTACGGTATGACAGGGAGAAGAGATTTAAACTATCTAGTCTTTCCTCATATGATAAGTTAGCTATGTCGTGAACCATAAGTGTTGCCTTCCTTTGAACACTTTCTAGAATGTGAACCCCTTTTTAGACAAGGACTGGCGGCCTGGTTGCAGTTTTCCAGTCTTGACCTAACCAGAGATGTGTATAAGGAGGTGAACATATCTCTGGTAATTCGTATAAAGGCTCTGCGAATCGCCCATAAGGACCTGAAACTACGTGCAGCCACCGCGCGACAGTGTGCTGTAGTTTTTAAGTCGTGGGTATCTATGACACCTAAGTCCAAGTGAGTCTGAACTGACGGAAGTGTTATTCCCTCTAGTTCGTAGGGGTTTGTGCTTGATTGTCCAATGCGCATGGTTGCACATTTTGCCACATTGATCGGGAGCATCCACTCAACAGACCACTCCGACAATTTGTTGAGGTCCTCTTGCAACGTGAACGTATCACTGTTGTTCTTCAGCTCTCCAATTTTTTAAGTCATCTGCGTATAGGACCATAGGGGAGTCGGTAAGTAGAGGTAACTCATTGATATACAGAATATAAAGGAGAGGACCGAGAACCGTGCCTTGTGGCACTCCGCTACTTACTGCTGTCCAGGAGGAGAGTTCTGAGTTGATCCTAACCCTCTGCCTTCTATCTACGAGGAATTCTCTGAGCCAGTCTAATAGTCTGCCTTTGATACCAAGACTTTCCAATTTCATGAGTAGTCCTTTGTGAGGTACTTCATCAAAGGCTTTACTGAAGTCTATGAAGACGTCGTCAACGGGTCTTCTGTCATCCTTTGATAGGACCCAGCTTTCTCTTGCAGTCAGATTTGACAGGCATGAAAGGTTCCTCCGGAAGCCATGCTGAGCTCCAGACAACAAGCTGCTACCTTCCAGATAAGCCATAATGCTTTTCTTGATAATTCTTTCCAGTGTTTCGATTTAAGTGCTGGTGAGACTGATAGACCTATAATTTGAAGGGCTTTGTCTTGATCCTCCTTTGTGTATGGGGGTTACTATGGCGTCTTTCCAATCACGTGGCAACACTCCATTTAGGAGAGATAGCTTGAAGATCGTGGTCAAGTGTATAAGAAGAATAGTGCATAAGAACCTCAAATTTTGTTGTGGCTGTGGTTCGATGCCATCACTAAGCATAGTCAGTGCTCGTCAGTAGATTAAAACACAAAACCCTCACCCAGTCACCTAAATACCAAACAACCCGCGAATCCCTAGCACAAAACAATGGAATTCGAAGTAACAATTGTCCAATATCCAATACCGTTTTCACAACCTATTTTAAGCGGATTTGATTTCTTTGTACTCGCTCGCTCATTGTGAGGTGAATGTTCTCGGTCTCTGGTAAACTTCCGCGTAGTTCTTTCCGTCACTCGACTGTCGTGGCTTTGGTTGACTCCAAAGGGAGTAGTGCTGAGAGCAATCATGTGTTGTTTCTAGTATTTGGTGTGTTAAGACTTTGTTGCTACTGTGAGTGGAGTTGATCCTTACATCAGTTGTTCCTCCGGTATCGTCGTTAAGAGCAAAGAGATAATAATATTCACAGATATATGAGTGTAGCTTATTCAGACCAAAAGACAGAAAAAGTAGTAGAGAAAACGTAAAAACAGACAAACAATTAAACGTGAAGTTGAAATATATGTGTACACATACATAAATGTATATGTGTATAATATCAGTAATAGTAATAAGTGTCAGTGTAGTAGTTGCAGCTGTCAGGAGAGTGAGACGGGAGGGAATGTGAAGAAATAAAACGACGAACTTAGTTGTCTACCCCTGAATGGTATATCGGAATTTAAGGGTTTAGCCTATTTCGACGCAGTCCATGTGTCGCTGCATGATTGTTTAGATTTCGCTTAAAGGAGTCCAAAGACGGTGCCATAACTACATCTGCCGGTAAGGAATTCCAGGGACGACAAACCCGCAGTGAAAAGAAGTGGGAGCACACGCGGATCCTTGCCCTCTGGTGAGCTATCCTTCCGGGATTTCCACGAGGGAGCCTATACCTACTCAATGTCACAACACCTTTGTTTCCGTGACTCTGGTCATTTTTTTATTTTGTAGGCAGTAATCAAATCCCCCCTAAGACGTCGGTAGCTAAGTGTGGACTGGCTTAATTTCTTCAGCCTTTCATCATATGGTTTGTTTAGGAGACCAACCACTCCTTTTGTTGCCCATCGTTGTACTCTTTCCAAGAGGTTGGAGTCTCTTCTAAGCAGTGAGGGTGCAACAATATTATGCACTTCAAGGTGTGGTAAGATGTACGTTTTGTACAATCTTAGAAAGAGCTCAGGAGTGAGTACACCTAACCGTCTATGTGCAAAGTTTATGACCTCACAAGCCCTCGCTAAATCCCCCGTGTAATCTATTCTTATGTCCATATGGACTGGAACATTCATATCTTAGAATGACGTTCAATCATCTCAAGCCGATAGTACGTCTGTTGCACAAGATCTGCCCTCCCTGGAACCGTGTTGAGCTCCACCGAGTCTATTAGTCCTTTCGAGGTGCTCCCGTGGGTGACCATCAATAATGCTTTCCAGTACTTTTAAGACCACCGGGAGTAGAGCTACTGGTCTATAACTAGTGGCATTTTTCCAATCCCCACCCCTGAAGATCGGAAAAAGGATGGCACTTTTCCACTACCTTAGAAGTTTTCCGGATCCATCGAGTGTTGGAACAAGTCGCATGAGGGCCTACAAAGAGCTTCGGAGCACTGTTTCAGAGTAGATGGCCAGGTGTTGTCAAAATAAGGGGACTTTCCGGGTGTGAGTCTCCGCAGATTCCTTGGTACAATTACCGGGTTTATTCGGGAAGAATCCACTACTTTTTCCTGCGGTAAAGTAGTAGTGCCCCCATTTTGGTTTGTACCGGTAATACCCACGTTACTGTTTAACTGATTGGTGAAGGCTTGTGGAGTCCTCAAAAATAAACTTATCCAAATTTTACTACTATGTAAATAATGAACATATTGTGCATCACTTTGTTTCAACCATAAACCCTGTACTTTGAACTTTACCTCGGGTTTTGAATAAATATATAGTTCTGCCTTCGACTCTCCGTCTTCTCCACCATCTCAACTACCGTCGATCAATTTTAATCACCTGCTTTCTATCTCAAATTTTTGCAGGAGCACCGTAGTTCTTCCTACGTACTTTGGTCGACCTCCGGCAACGTCAACATTGGAGAATTAGTACTGGAGCAGTTTTCCCGCAGCACCTGGAGTCTATAACGTTTATTGTGGACTTTGGATCTTTGTAAACCCAAGTAACCAAACTTTAATACATTCTTCCCGTAACTAAACTGATTTGGTACTTTATTTTCTATTTGAGTTTGGGTAACTAAGCTAACAGAGTAAAAGGTCCACCACAGGCTAAACTGAATGTTTCAAGCCCTCTCCAGACTATTGAGGTGTTGACCATTTGGACATACTTAGGCTCATGCCGCCTGGTTGGTCGGTTTTCTTTCCAGCGTGAGTCGATACAAGCTGTTAAAGTTCACCAGTAGATTGTTGTTAAGTTCAGCCTGAAATGTCCTCCTGTCACTCCTGACTCTCACGTTGCATCGGCTCATGAGTTCCGGGTATGCGTCGTTGCCGGTCTGACTCTTGGATACTCGCCACATAGGCGAAGCCTTCCGCCTTGCTTGCAGAATACGTTGCGTGCCTCTCTTCAGCCATGATGACCATTTCTTTGAGTTGAGTTGCGGCTAGAGGGACGGTATCCGAGATTGCTGTGTGAATAACCTCTCTTACCACTTCCTAGTGTTCATCCTATGCTAAAGGTCATTCTGAGTCGGACAAAGTCTCCACATTTCTGCACAGTCAGCCTTGCGGTAACACAGACATGGTCGCGTGACGTCCCACTGTAAGCGCTCACGGATTACAAGATCGAAACCTATTGCTGCATGGTCACCACTGACTAGAAGAGTCATGATCTGGACATTTCCGATGAGTAGTTGGTCGCTAGTTAGAATATAACCCAGTTTCGATGACTTACCACTCGGGCCCCACCTAGGGTCGTCTCCAACATTCCCAGTCAGTCCTGTATTTCTAGTGGTTTGAAGTAGATTTCGACTGAATTTTTTCCGAGCATACCAGCTGCCAAGGTTCAGTGATGGGGCATTGAAATTTCCAGCTATGTTTATCTGGTCATAGCCCGAGTCCCGTATCCCTGTGATGGTGCTGAGCAGTAGCTGGTTGTGCTCTGCCCCACAGGTGGGTGATTGGCAGACGCCATCCAATAAGTGCTTGGTATGGCCTACGGTGAAAGAACACCATATGGAGTCTTAGAGTTCAATAAGTGGTGGGTCCATTGCACATACACATTTAAGTCGCCTGTCAGAGTATATGGCAACTCT